CCACCACCAGAAGCAGCAGCAGCAGCAGCAGCAGCAGCAGCAGCAGCAGCAGCAGCAGCAGCAGCAGCAGCAGCAGCAGCAGCAGCAGCAAGGTCAGCAGCAGCAGCAGCAGCAGCAGCAGCAGCAGGAGCAGCACCAACAGCAGCAGCAGCACCACGACTCACAGTCCAGAAAGTGGACGTAGTACACCGTCCCGCCATCCTCCTGCCGCGTGTCCAGCACCTCTGCCGGGTCTGCAGCGCCCAGGAGGCCGCACAAGTCGTGGGGGCCGGGGCGCTTCGGACTAACGTGCCAACACATTGAGGCTAGCAGCCGCGCGTGCCGGAAAAACTGAGGCTAGCGGCCGCGTGCGTCCCGAGAGGGGCAGGGGGTGCACCCCTGCAGGAGCCGGCAGCGCCACCCCAGGGGATGCTGACAGGCCTGTGAGGCAGCACTACACGCCCGCAGCCCCCCACCGCTCACGTGTCTGGCCGTCGAAGCCCGCTACACACTGGATTTTGGATCCCACTGCAAACTGCGGGCGGCGGCCGATTGGAGCAGGGGCGCGAGCGCGGCTTTGTTGCAGTGCGTCTCGCGGCCCTCAGTCCTGCGGGCTGCCGTCCTGCAGCGAACAGCGCAGCGGCGGCAGCATCCCTTCCTGGGGGCTCGCTGCGATGGTGGTGGCCAGAGCACAGGCTCCAGCTCGTGCTGGCCGGGGCCGTGCGGGCGCATGTACACGAGTGCAGTGCGCACAGCGCGGGCAACGCAGCATGCGGCACGCTGGGCGCCATCGCATGCAACACGGTTGTGCCCGCCCTGCATCCTAGCACGCTACACAGACGAGTCATTCCGACGGGGGCCCTCCCGCTTCGAGAGGCTTTCGTGGTGTTGAGCGCGCACATCAGCGATCACACCCCCACTTCACCCTTGCACACCTGCTCTGGAGACTTTTGTCGCCCAGAGGTGGACGGCTCGCTTCCACCTCCACGCGCCATGTTCCCTCGCACGGTGGCCGTGCTGTCAAGGGGCAAGCTCTACAGCACAAGATCGATGCAGACACAGCCACGATTCTTTTAGATAACAAAATTTTGCACTCTTCATTCATAGGAGGCGCTGACATTGGTTGTTAAGGGTGGCTACACACCAGACGACCTTGCTGCTGCTCACCTTGGGGTGCGACAGGGAGAGCAACCAAGTTCACCAGGCCCGTATGCCTGTCCCTTCCAAATGACGTTTAACACTCGTTGAAGCCATGCCGCGTCCTTGGAGATAGCCCCACCAGGGCCTGGTTCGGTTGTTTCAGCGCCAGGGGCGTCCTTGGGGCAGAAATCTGCCGCGAGGGTGCGCTTTGCATCGCGTCTATCTGCGGCCGGAGGCTTCGGAGGTTGCACGGTCCTCGCGGCGGCAGCGAGGCGCGCTGCGCGCCGCGTGCGGACGCTCGCTTTTTTGGAGCTGCTGCAGCCATGGCGAGCCGCTCGGATGAGCTCCTGTCGGACCTGGGGTTCGTCTCCTACAACGCGATGGTGAGCGTGACCTGCGGGCAGCGCAGCGGGGTGCGCTGCGACCCATGAGGGCCCCCCTTCAAGCATGGCAGCACGTGAAGTGGGGGCTCTGTCGGCATCTCCTGCGCAACGGCGCCGAATCGCCCACGGCGGCCGGCCCCCCTCCCGCAGGCGCTGGCGCTGGCGCCGGCGACCATCGCGCAGCTGGCTCTGCGGCACTGGCGCGGGGAGGAGACTCTGGCCTCCACGGTGCGCCGCGCACAGACGATTGCTCGCTCAAAACGCCCTCGATGCGGGCGCTTCCCTCCGGCGCCCCTCCCACGCCTCCGCCGTGCCGACTTTCCTGGCGCGGACGCTTCCATAAAGCGCTCTGCTGTGGAACCAGCCTTTTTGTGGAACCAGACTCAGAAAACTTTGCACCCCCTCAAGCGTCGGCATCGCGTCACGCCATTAGTCACGTGTTGCACCCGTGACATCAAGGGTTTGCCTGCTCGGAGGCGCCGGCGGCCGCCGTCCGTGCGCCGCCGCGGTACAGGCGGCTGACCCCGCGTGGGCGCGGCGCGTCCCTCCCCTCCCCACCCGCAGTGGCAGCGGCTCGGCGGCTGCCGCGTGCGGCGCCCCAAAGGACCCCTCATCTGGTTTCACGCCCTCACAGTCGGTGCGCGGCTGCGCCTACTCTTAAGACTCGAACCGCGGCCGCCCGGCCAGCGGCGAGCACCGCAGCCAGCGTGTCGTGTGCGATCGTTGTCTCGAAGGGGGGGCGAGCAGCGGCGGCTATCCCCGGAGCCTGGCTGGTGCGAGGCCCAATGATTTGCTGATGCCCGCGCCCGCTTGAACCTATCTGCTGCGCAGGCGAGTGCGCGGTGGCGCTCCCGGTGGTGTTCAGGTGTCTTCTGGTGAGAGCAGGCGGGAGGGGAAGCGTCTGCCGGCTGCATTGTCGTGCCTGCAGGCGCGTGGGCGGGGCATGAAGGCTCTGGCGACCGCGCGCGTCCACCCACGCACCCGCCAACGCTCCAGATGGCGCGCAAGCGCGCGCTCTCGCTCGCACAACACACGCAGCATTCAGGCTCGCACGCACTCAACCCCCGTCTCCTATCCATTCCCTGCATTGACAATGGCCCCCCGCACCATGTGCGCCCACACGCATCCAATCCACCCACAGCAATCAAGCCCTCCCCGCCATCCACGCTTGCCACCACACACACACACACACACCCCACCCCCCTACAAGCGAATCCAGAATACACACATGCCCCCGCCCGAAAAAACAGCTGATGTGAAACGCAAACCAACCAATTCCTGGCCCTCAGGAGTACAACGAGAATGTCCGCGTGCTGCTCACCACCGGCACACCAGAGGCGCACGCGCTGCTGGCCGGCAGCCTGCCACGCCGCGTGGTGCTGCAGTGCGCGCCCTTTGAGAACGCGGCATCAGTCACACTGTTCCTGCGCAGCTGGCGGCCGCAGGTGAGACCCTTGCTCTGTGCGGCACAGGGGGTGGGTGGGGCCCCGCCGCCGCCGCCGCTGCCAGGCAGCTGCACACGTTGTTGTGCGCTGCTGCTCGACCCTTATTGTCAGTCATATGCCTTGGGTGGAGCGTCGATTTTGGCATGGAGATGCAGCACTTGACAGCGAGCCGCCGCCAATCCCCCGGGGTTAAATTGTCACCCCTCCTGCCGCAGGTGGCCGTGTTTGTGGAGTCGCCGTCTTGGCCCATGCTTGTTGAGCTGGCGGGGCGGGCGGGGCTGCGGCTGGCCCTGCTGAACGCGCGCATGGGGAGCAGGTGACCTGGGGGCGGGTGACCTGGGCTGTGTGTGCGTGGAGGTGTGTGCGTAGTGATTGGTGGTGTGTGCAATATCTTGTTGCAGAGTATGTTATGGGCTTGAGTGTACGTGCATGGGTGTGTGTGTGTGTGGGGGGGGGGGTTGCGCGCGCATGCGTGCGTGTTTGGGGGGGGGGGTTACCAGTGCGGTGTTGAAGTTGGTGGCAGCTAAGGCGTCCGCTTCGCAGCGGGGCAAAGGGCGCTGTGCTGCGAGCCGCCGGGCAAGCCGGGCGCGCGGCGCGGGCCCCGGCACAGGCGCTGCCACGCAGAGGAATTCCTGGGGCGCGAGGGGCCCCCGCTGACCAGCCCTTTGAAACAAAACACGACGCGGCCCCGCGCCAGCGTCGTCCACTGCCACATTTGTCCTCCTCGACCCCTGTGCCTCCCAACCCTTTACATTCCCCAAGTTCCCCCTCCCCCCCTCCCCCCCCCCCAAAGCTGGTTCCTGCGCTACTTCTACCGCCCAGTCAGCCGCGCCCTGCTGGGCCGAGTGCTGTCGCGCTTCACCCTCATAGTGCCGCAGAGTGACGTGGTGCGCCCGCGGTTTTGGGAGGGGGCGGGGTGTGAGGAAGGGATGGAGGACGTGGCGGCTTGCAGGGAGGGGCGGCGCGGTTCCTTGCTTTTGCACCCGTTCGCTGCGGCCCCTCGTCGCTGCGCCTGCCGCGGTTGCGCGGCACGCAGGCGCGCGCGGTCCCACCC